TGAACCCAAGAACAAATTTGAGTAAGATGGCATTATTAGTGCATGTAACCCTTTGGACTCCAGAATGTAAGCGCGAAGCTGACGAAACTAAACTGCAGCATTACTTTAGCGATCCAACAAGTGTTCAGAATTCTCATGTAAATGAGGTCTATCACACTTACCTAGTTTGATGGAACATCACCTGGAGGCCTCATGTTAGCAATCAGTAGAATGTCTATTAGAGCGCGTGCAAATTCAGGCTTAGGAACTAAGCTTCCCACAAGGGTCAAAGTGCAGATTTGAAAAAAGCTGGTGATGCATGTTCTGCCTAGAAAGGGGAAGCAGAAATACCATATAGCTTCACGAATCTCTCCAGGCCAATACAATGAAAACAAGGACAAATTTGAGCAACATGGCTTAATTACTGCACGCCAGCCTTTGGACTCCAGAATGCAAGTGCAAAGGTGAGGAAAGTGAACTGCAGCATTCTTTTAGCGATCCAACGAGTGTTCAGAATTCTGCATGTAAATGCAGTTTATTACAGGTATCTAATTTGACACAACATCACATGGAGGCCTCCTGTTAGCAATCCGTATAATGTCTATTAGAGTGCAAGCAAAGTCAACTTTAGGAACTGAAGTTCCCACAAGACTCAAAGTGCAGATTTGGAAACACCTGGTGATACATGTTCTACCTAGAAAGGGGAAGCAGGAATACCATATAGCTTCACGAATCTCTCCAGGCCAATACAGTGAAAGCAAGGACAAATTTGAGCAACATGGCTAATTACTGCATCCCAGCCTTTGGACTCCTGAATGCAAGTGCAAAGGTGAGGAAAGTGAACTGCAGCATTCTTTTCCCGATCCAACGAGTGTTCAGAATTCGCATGTAAATGCAATTTATTACACGTATCTAATTTGACACAACATCACATGGAGGCCTCCTGTTAGCAATCCGTATAATGTCTATTAGAGTGCAACCAAAGTCAGTTTCAGGATCTAAAGGTCCCACGAGAATCAAACTCCAGATGTGCAAAAAAGCTGGGGACGCGTGTTCTGCCTATTAGGGGAATCAAAAAAAGAAAAAAAAGAAAAGAAAGCTGAGGAAAGTGAATTGCACCATTACTTAACAATGCAATGAGGCTTGGAATTGTCAGGTAAATGCA